TCAACACATTGTTAAGAAGTTTTTAAGCAATTTGTTGTAAAGTGGTGTAAGAATATCCACTACGCCATATCGTCCCGTGGCGTGGGTGTCGTAAGCGGTGACAGAGGTAAACTGAAACAGAGGGTAGGCAGCAGAATATTCCCGATCACAACGAAAAGAATAAAAAAACTGTGGTTACCAACCATAACAAAACCTTTGAGGCAATCTATGGCTCAGGCCGATGTTCAGCAGTGGATTTATATATGCTGTAATGGAATGAATGAGTTATGAAGAATAATTTATTATTTGACGCTGGTGAAAGCACAACCGCAGCAATTAATAACCAAAGAAAAAAAAACAGATATTTATTTGGAGAGTTTTACCGGGAAGTGGATTTGATACATAATTATTAATTTAGATTTTGGTTTGTACATTAAAGTGAGATCGATGAAATTAAGGGTAGATTTATTATGATATTAAAAAAATACAAAAAAAATGTTCAATATTTGTGATATTATCAAGAAAGTAAACAAAATTTGACTAAGCAAAGACAAAAAATTTGATTAAAATAAACATTAAAATCTACATGTTCCAAAAAGCAATACATTTGCGGCTGTACTTGAAGACTAATATACATACACGTATTTGAGAACTTCTTTTAAATTTAGTCGCATGTGTAAATGGGGTGCAGGAACCACTTTCCATCAAGTTACTACTACTACTGCTAAGCTACTTAATTAAAATAATTCAATATGCAATAATAATGCTACCTTAGAGTAATAACATACATAATGCCACTTGAACCATAGCCAAGAACAAGTTCATAGCCAAAAATCAATAAAAGTTTAGTAAGTTACAATTTACGTATTCTTTACTTTTTAAATAAATATTACATCTGCATGAGGATTTTTTCTGTATCGAGAAAGTTTCTTACGTACATAAATTGCAATAAAACTATTATTTGCAGGCCATACAAATTATGCTGGTTCCATGCAAAAATCCAATCCACGACTCGTAGTTTCGCAGCCATACGCATAAACACTACGCTACCGTGCCTAACTAATGAGTTGTTACGACTATATGTACATGAACAGTACATTTTTTTAATAAAACTTCACCAAATTTTTAATTAAAGTGCATAGTGTGGCTTAAAGACATCTACATCTATCTTCGGTTAGTCCTAAATCAAAATGCAAGGCGGTGTTATCCCTAAGGACTAAGATGGAATACTTCATTCCCAGTAAAAAAGGGTCTCCGGTTCTCAGTACTTACCATACGAAATACAGCAGCATTAAACTGCTATTTACGCTGGTATTGTGAGAGCATGGTCCTTCCCCGGTCGAACCGATCCATTCGTGCTATAACCACAATATAGCTATAGCATGACCTTACCATGTATAAACCATATTGTATAAAACCACTTTTACTGAATGTATTGCGTTTAGTTTATTTTTAAATCTCACCGTTTTATGATCAGGGGATAAGTCGCTCGCGTCCGTAGGCTTTGACCAACAGGTCCTAGGCCCACCCTACACGTGTCCCCCGGGTGGTGCTAAATGAGCGACAAGCCGATAGCACAGACTCGGCTCCTCACCGTGGTAGCGGCGTAAAATATACTACCCCATATTTCGCACCATGAGGAAGCAAACAAAAGAAATGGCCCCGAGTTCCCGGCGCCCGTTTAATAGGGCAGGGGTGCGAAGAATCTCCGGGAGGAAAACCGGCGACGAGGTTCGCCACCCGTCACGTTCTGTCTCCCGGAGGGGCGAAAAGTGGATTGCAGAGGCCCGTCTGGCTACGTTGAATGTATGTGGGGCAATGAATGATAAAATGGATGAAGTATGCGATGTGATGTATGATAGAGGAATAGATGTTTTATGTGTAAATGAAACGAAACGGAAGGGGAAGGATGTCACTACACATGGCATGTGTACCGCATACTGGTCTGGGGTAGACGAGATTGAGCGGGCATGCCATGCATGAATGTGTAAGCCCAAGACTGCTAAGGATACGAATGAAAGTGGACTTAAAGAAGTTGTTTGTGTTAGGGGTCTACGCCCCAGGGATGTCTAAGCCCACTTATATCCGAGAGCAGTTTTGGGAAATGGTAAGGATGGTGTTAATGAAATGTAAGGTAAATGAAAATATTATTATGCTAGGAGATTTTAATGGAAGGATTGGGGTGAGGAGGCTTGGTTATGAAAGGATATTGGGAACGTTTGGTGATGAAAGTATAAATGAGAATGGTGAAAGCCTCCTCACCGTATGTATGGAAAATAATATTTTTGTGACGAACACTTGCTTTCGCCACAAGAGGATTCACACGTATACATGGGAAAGACGTGATGATAAAAGCATGATAGATTTCGTAATTGTGGATGAAAGAATGAGGGGCGCAGTGGTAGATACAAGGGTTTACCGGGAGTCCAACGTAGGAACGGATCATTACTTGGTTTTATGCCGAATTAATAGTCTATTCAGGCGTTGGCGCCATCGGTCATCTGTGTCTATCACTGCGTTACAGAGTTTAAGAACTGAAAGGTTACAAGAGGAAGGTGAGAAAAACAAATGTAGACTGAAAGAAAATATAAGTGGTTTGGATGAATTATGTATGAATGAGTTAGACTTGGAGAATGTGTGGCATAATGTTAAGAAAGGTTTAGTGGATGCAGTTATCAAAGTATGTGATGTTAGTAAAAGAACGAATAAAAGGAAAAATAATACGTTATGGTGGGATAATGAGATACGTACGGAAGTTGAAGCAAAGAAGAGAGCATGGCTAGATTTACTAGCAACTAAGGCTGGTAATTCTAGCGGTACGAATGATGATTTTGAAAGAAAAAAGGCAGTCTTTAGACATCTAAATAAAAGAGTAAAAGAAGTAGTTGAAAGGAAAAAGCAAGAAAGAACGGATAAGAATGATAGAAGAATATCGGATAACTTCCAGGCAAATATTAAAATGTTCTGGAAACTTGTAAGAACTGCCAGGGGACATTCAAAACAGCCTATGATGAATGCTATAAGAGACGAGAATGGCTATATTCTGAATGATGAAGTTTTGAGTTTAAAGAGATGGAAGGAATATTTTGAAAGCGTGTTTATGAGTGAGGAGACAACGTGTGTACTAAATGAAGTAGAAACTCCGAAAGAAGAGGAAAGAGGTAGCGAGATAAGTAAAGATGAAATAATGAAAGCAATGAAAAGCATGAAAGCAGGTAAGGCTGCCGGATATGATATAGTTTCACTTGAAATGCTAAGGATTGGAGAGGAAGTGGTGGCAGGCCTGCTGCACACCTTGTTTAATTTATGCTTGGAACTGAAGCGGGTACCGGTAGACTGGTGCAAAGCCGTGATAGTCCCAGTATATAAAGGAAAAGGGTCGTAGCAGGACTGTAAAAACTACCGTGGTATAAGCCTTCTTAGCATTGTGGGAAAACTGTATGCTAAGGTACTGATTGAAAGGGTCATGAAAGAAACTGATGAAAAAATTTGGGATGTGCAAGCGGGACTTAGAAAGGGAATGGGATGTACAGATCAAGTCTTTCCCATGCGCATGATCGCGGAAAAGTTTTGGCCAAAAACCAAAAGGTTTTTTGTGCGTTCATGGACTTGGAAAAGGCCTATGACAGAGTGGATAGGGATGTGCTATGGCAAACACTGAATTCATTTGGGTTGAACGCTGGCTTGATACAGGCATTGGAGTCACTTTATAGGGAATCTAGTGCTTGTGTTAGGAACAACGGGGTCTACTCGGACTAGTTTGGCATCCATAAAGGTGTCAGACAGGGCTGTGTGGCTTCCCCGTGGCTGTTCAACCTATTTATGGACAGTTGTTTGCAAAATTTGAAAGTTGAAGAATGCGGATTAAGAATGGGTGAGTTAACCGTCAAATGCCTTTTGTATGCCGATGATCAAGTAATTCTTGCGTCTTCGGCGGCCGAGCTGCAAATGATGGTTACATTAATGAACAGATCATTAAAAGAAAGGGGTATGAAAGAGAACGCAAGTAAGACGAAAGTTATGGTTTTTGAAAGAGAAGAAAGTAAGACGATATGTGAAATAAGAATAGAAGGGGAGTTGATCGAGCAAGTAGATGAGTTTGTATATCTGGGTTGCTTATTTAGCAGGGATGGGAGATATGATAAGGATATAGAACGACGAGTGAATGCAGGAAATAGAATAAATGCCCTACACTCTATTGTGAAGAGTCAAAATGTGTCGAAAAAGGCACGTATGGCAATTCACAATGCTGTGTTGGTCCCTTTTTTCCCTTATACGTATGGTAGTGAAAGTTGGGTGTGGCAGAAGAAGCACGAGAGTAGAATGAACGCAGTAGAAATGCGGTCGTTAAGGAGTATGTTAGGGCTGAATCTGAATGACAGGGTAAGATATTGTGTAATAAGAGAAGAGTGTGGTTTGCAAGATGATGTTGTGACCAGGAGAAAAGAATGCTTCAGTGGTTTGGTCATGTGGAAAGAATGAATGAGGAAAGAGTGACAAAGAAAATTTATATTTGCAGAAGTGAATGGCAGAGTCGGAAAGGGACGTCCTAGGCGAAAATTTATCGACCAAATTGGCGATTTATTGAAAACGGACCAAATTAGGAGTACCCTTAACCGACGAGCATGTATGCGTAGGTGTATGGAAGTGAAGGAGGCGAGAGAGGTGTGTCAGGATCGTGCCAAATGGAAGTCTGTAGTCTCTGCCTACCTCTCTGGGTGATAGGCGTGAGTGTTTATGTATGTATGTATGTCTCATCGTTTTGTGAGGCGATTGAGTTCCGTGATGCAAAGCATTCGATGTTACGGTTCCGATTAAGTATTAAAAAAAGGTTTCTTTTTCTGAAACTAATTAAAATCGAAGAATACATGCGGGCACTGGACACCTAAGGAGTGACAAATAAATAAAACAACTGTTCTTATCAGAGAAACTCTGTTTATTTTAATATTTTCTATCAATCTCAGAACTGTTGATTTTTTATTTAGTACAATATAACTATGGGGTGTTCAATCGTTGGAAAACTAATTGTCGCCTGTAGCTTCTGTGGTAGTAACGTCAATGTGCAACGACTTGGGGTCAAAGGCGCAACGGAAAATGTTCCACGCCATCTCTTGTGGAGTGTCACCCGTCTGGTTAGCACATCTCTCCAGCACCTGAAAATACGATTTTTGGTATATTTAAATAAAAAGCATAGTAGTTGTTGATCCTTCACGCTCTCACAGAATACTATCGTAAAATAGTAGTATAATCAAAGATTAATAAATAGTTTACCAAGTATAATGCTGCTGAGCTTCTTCGTATAGTTTCTGTAGAAAAATAAAGACCATATGGACTGGTAACTAAACATTTTAGGGGTGGTAACTCATATGAATTTTGATTTTTGACCAATGCTAAATATTGGTCATACCAGTATGCGAAATGTAGGGTGACCCCTCTGGGTGAAATACGTAGGACGACCTGATAAGATATGCAGGAAGTTGATGAATGCAGCTGGCTCAAGACTGTGATTTGTGACGTTCCTTGCCATTTGCCTATGTTCAGCATTGGACTTGTGAAGAGCTGTCTTGATAATGATGATGATGACGATAGATGTTGCTATGGGCCACAGCCGTAGTGGGCGTTTTACCGTGTATTTGTGTATTTACCGTGTAGTGGCGGTGTAAGAATATCCACTACCCCATATCATCCCGTAGATATCATAATAAACACAGAGGGAAACATGTCAGGAGATGGGCAGCAGCGTCTTCCTAATAAAGACTAAAAAAACTGCGGTTGGCAACCCGCCTGCCAATCATGGCAACCATGGCAAATACCCCCCTATGAGGCAATCTCCATAGATTACTCAGCCATGTGAGGCCTATGTTCAGCTGTAGAATTTAATAGGGTGTAATGAAACGATATGAGCCAAAGCATTCACTTATCACCATGCGCTCATCTGTCGTTCTTACTTATTTAAAAAAAAGGTTTTTCAGACAGATTGACAAGCTTCAACACTATGTAGCAGATTAATCGTGACGTAGTAACTAGTTTTTTTAATAACTAAAGTTATAAATGAACTTAGAGTCTACCTGGTGGTCCACCCATGGCTACCTGCAGCTAAACTCAAACAAAAAAGGCCACAGACACGTTGACCTCTGAGGATTAAGTGGGAATGCCTAACGGCCTGTAATTATACTGGCTCTCTTCACTCTTTAGACTGGAACATAGCACTGCAATAATTTGGCGACAGAAATAAGTAAAGAAAGAGTCCTGTCACATAGAGTAGTGCTTTATATCCTTCAGACCGAAAACAGTACAATTCTTCACCTCACACGCTGACACCATCGGACAACGAGACGCTTGGCCAGTCTCCGTTCTTTCGTTGTTGACTTATCATGCGTTCATGCGTCATGCATACAGCAAAAGAGTGGAATAAATTGCCAGCATATGTCTTTTCATCCAGTTACAATGCTGGTATCACCAAGGTAAGAGTGAATGGGCTCATATTAAGTCAGTGCGCCCTACCATCCTCGTCTGCATTACTACTTACCACTAGCTGGGATAGTGGTCAAGAAAAGTGAAAAAAAATTGGAAGTACCACTCGCTCACCTCCACCATTTTTTCAACAAGCTCGACTCCACCTAGTAAGGGCTATTCTAGCAAGTTAGGGGTTGTGTGTTGTGTGTGGTGTACCTTGGTGACGTCAGCGGGCAGGCCTCTGGCAACGTGTGCCAGGGCAGCCTTGCGCAGCTTGCCGTCCTTAGCGATCAGCTTGCACCGGCGCAGCGCGCAGTATGCCTGCAGCCTCACGTCTGATCCCCGGCACGCCTCCCAGTGCGCACGCAGCAACGACCGACCCTCCTTGTCCAGTGCCTACGCACAACGTACATCATTTACCAGTACTATAACTCGGCGATCTTCCCCTGTGCGATTTACCACAAGTTTTCCCCCTTGGATTTGATTTTTCGGAACAGCAGCGCGTTTTTCAACCGACTTCAAAAAAAGAATGAGGTTCTCAATTCGTCAGTATTTTTTATGTGTAACCTAAGAACTTGTTTCTAGGTGAACCGATTTTAATGATTCCTTTTTATTTGAAAGCTAGTGTTTGTCATTTGGTCCCATTTAAATTTGATTAAGATCTGATCAATAGTTTTTGAGTTATCCTTATTAATGCGTATTTAATTGACTTCGACTACATTGATAATGTTCTGATTTTATTTATATTTGATTTGCCAGATTGTACAAAATTTTTAATTTTCCCACTTGTTCTCAACCGATAAGACTTAGGAACCTTCAAGAAAAGAGCCTACTTTCATATGAAAAGGCCAGATCGAACTTGCAATTACCCTGACGGTACAGTTGTTCTTGGGCGGCGGTCGAAACTTACCATCACGTGAGCCGCATGGGCAAACAAGCCCCCTCTTTTATAAAACAATCTTCATGGAGGTATGCTCAAAATCTGATGCGCCGGTTACATTAAACTCTTGTCTAGAAATTTATATTGTTTTTAGCCATAGAGCAACACGGACTACCGGCGGACCGAAAGGGCCATAGCGTAGTAGCCATAGCGTTTTCCCCGATACAAAACTGTGCGTCATTTTTTACGGGTGGAAACCGCATAACAATTAAAACAATAAACTATAAATGCACACAAACATAGATAGATTATAACTGTATCGTTCGGTAACAGCAACAACTTGGATACAGACTCGGATCAGTCGCTCGACCGATCTGCATATTGTATGAGTTCTATTATAATTTTAAAGTTAAAAAAGATGTAAATAGCAATAGTTATATATGAAAGGTAACGCCATCTTTTTGTAACTTTGATATGGAAAATTTATTGAATAAAACTATTTATACGGAATTTATTACGTTGAATTAATAACTTGTTTTTAATTCCCGACGTTTCGGGTGCTTTACAGTACCCACGGTCACAGGCAGGGGGGGACTAAGATGTTTGACATCCCAATGTAATAGTTAGCCCGGCTACCTTCAGTTTTTGAATATTACTTTTTAAGCCCGATCTACGCAGAACGAGCTTACATTATCTTGAAGTCTTGCCACTGCAAGACAATACTTGGGTTTGGGTTTAATTTTATTAATTATAGGATCCCAAGCAAATGTCAGCACCCATACATCTTCTCTATTGAAATTAGGATGTTTTTTTTAAATTTCAAGAGCCTCGTATCATCCTTGGTAGGAATCGGTGTTTTTTTTTGCGAGGATTTGTGGTTTATCAAATATGAAGTAATTGTGGGGATGGTCTTGAACATGTTCACAGACTGCAGACTTCCCGGAGCGTCGGTGCTTCATGTCAACTATATGTTATTTCACGCGGGTTTTTATAGATTTTTTTGTTTTCCCTATGTATTGTCTTATTGTTCTATTTTGAACTATGAGACCACATTCACAGTCTTGGTTGTACATTTCTGCATCTTGTAGAGGATTACACTTGATGGATGGTAAAAATTGACTAATCTTCTTCGGAGGCTTGTAGTATGTTTTAATGAAAGCTCGCTTCAAAATGTAGCCAACCTTGTCTGTGACTCCTCTTAGATACGGTAGTACAGCACGCGCTCGACTGTGGCCTGCTTCAAGCGGTCACTGTGACGTAGGCGCGGGACCCGAAGCTTGTTGTCTTGCAATACTTGCTTGACATACTGCAGCTTGGCGTTCAGATATTGTCACAGATCCCTTGTGCACTCTAAAACAAATATTTACCCACGGTAGCTAACTGTGAAGGATGATGGTGAGATTCACTATTAAAATATCGGTTGGTATGGGTCTTTTTCCTATACACAGTGTGACCAATAGTGTTATCAGGATTTCGGATGACTAAAACATCTAGGAAAGCTAAAGAAGTATTTGCCTCTATCTCCATTGTCAATTGTATTTTAGAGTTTATGGAGTTAAGGTGGTCCAAAAATGCAATTACTTTGTCAGATAGTAAAATTGTGAAAGTGTCGTCTACGTACCGCTTGTAAAATCTTGGATTTACAGGAGCAGTAAGAAGGCCTTTTACCTCAAAGTTCTCCATGAATATGTCGGCGACTATGGAGGATACAGGTGAACCCATCGTCACACCATCTACTTTCTTGTAGAACTCCTCCTTCCGCAATAGATATCCAGATGTGAGGCAGTGTTCAAGTAATATTACATATTCTTCAGGCATGTTGTTTTCTTCTAGCTTCCTGGTTACAATTGAGGTGCAGTCATCAATAGGTAGGCATGTTAATAGTGGCTGAACATCAAAACTGACCATAGTTTCATTGTCAGCGAGATGTAGGTCTTTTATCTCACTAACAAAATGGTATGAATCCTTAGTGTGTGCTCTGACAGTATTTTTGCTAAGCGTTGAGCCAACTTATAAGTCGGTGAATCGATCCAGCTCACTATGGGACCTAGTGGAGCGTTTGGTTTGTGTATCTTCGGTAACCCATACAATGGCACATGATGGTATTATCGAATTCACGTCGAGATTTGATCTTTTGGAGTATTTCTTTATTAAATCGGTAGTTTTTTTAAGCGTATTAGGTGTAGGATCTGTTTTGACCTTTTTGTATGTACTTTCGTCCGATAAAAGTAGTTGTATTTTAAAATTATACCCTGACTTGTTCATTATTACCGTAGCATTTCGTTTATCCGCGCCGAGATTTGTGAGCTCTGGTCTGTTCTGTAAGTTATTCAACGCTTTAAATTCGTCTTTAGGAAGGTTTGATTTCGGCACTGAACTAATACTGATTTCTTGATTCGGCACTGAACAAAACGTGAGGATTTAAAAACAAATTAATTAAACGCCATAAAATCCGTATAAATAGTTTCATTCAATGTGTAATGTTCGCGTAAATTTAAGAAATAATTATGGAAAATCGATTTTTGCAGAAAAATCTTGAACAATTTGGCATTTTTGTTTTCAAGTAAATCAGCTCTATATTAATAATTTTTAGGACAAATTTTATAGTTCCAAAGCTAATCAAATTGAATCAAATCTACTGAAAATTTATTTCACCGTCATTATAAACTTTCCTGCTTGCTGCTGAACATAGGACTCCTACAAGGAATGCCATAAAGCACGGCGCAGAGACATTATTGAAGTTTTGACGAAAGGGAGAGAGTTTGAGGAAAGGGAGAGGACAACGGCAGGACAAAAGGCAGGGAATCTTCCAACGGGCAATGTGGGGAGCGGCGTATGCTCCGTGTGTTAGTAGAGAGCTGTTCTATATATAGCGCAGTACTTCGAACCTTTGATAGTGAGATTTTCAGGTTTCGATTTATTTCGCTTGCGGCGCGATGATAGCGCCGCTAAATCCCCCACTTGCTCAGACCGGAGGTAGATGGTACAGCCTAGTTGTCGACCAACGTGCAAGTGCCAGGGATTGCCTTGTAGTTCACGGTGAGTCGAAAAGAGTGTGAGTGCCGTGAAGCAGAGGCGATCAGTAAATCTCAGAACCGTTCCAAAAACTGTAGCGCTGTGATTAGTTTGATGGAAAAGGAAGCATTATTCCAGTACTGCGATGAACCTTGTAAAGTTAGATGGCTTGAAGGATCTGAAGACTGCAGACGATATCTGGACAGGGTACCTGAGGACGATGACGAAAGCTTGAGGTTTCCGAAGGTTGCATGTGTCGTGTTTTAATCACGTCGGGGTCACCAGTTTGGCGGTGGAAGGAAAAGGGTAGACCACCTCCCGTCGGAGAATTTGATCGGCACGGAGAGTGGCCAAAACTCCGTGTGTAAGTGTAGAGCTGTTCTATCTGTAGCGCACAGTGCTTCAAAACTTTGTGTTTCGTTTGTGTTACGATAAAGCGTCATCATAAAGTCATTGAACATAGTGCTTAGGTCTTCCAGCGATTCTGTCTAAAGGACTATATCTTCGGCAAATCGAAGGTGAATGATGTACTCGCCATTGATGATGATATTGTATCCTTTCCAGTCCAGTAGCTTTAAAACGAAACGAAGCTGTAAAGAGCTTCGGGGATATAGTTTCATCCAATCTTACTACTCTCTGCATTTGCCAACCCACTTGCCTAGCATGACAACTACGGCAAACATGAGCAAACATGGGCAACGTAATGACATAATAATTTATTTCTGTAGATTTTTTGGAATAACATGCTAACGTAAAGGCAGTTTAAGAGATTAACTTATATAATATGCTAGTTTTTTTTAAAGAAAAAAAAATGTTGTACTTACGATACAGTTTTTGCATTCTGCACTCGCCTGAGAACAATAAAATTAATAAGTATAATCAAAAATTACTGGCATTTTGAATAGCTAATTATGAAATTGGAGAGAACCTTTGGCTATATAGTTTAAGGAGAGAACGTTAAGCTTTAGCAAAAATCGATTTGTGAGATCATGAGTAGCAAGTAGAGTCTTCTCATAAGATATCCCCCAGTTGAGGCTTGTTGGAGCAATGCTTACTTTTATTGGCTTTCAAAGATAGTTTTGTAAAGCCCAATTTTGCTTTGACTGAGCGCCAGATGACGCGAAACTAGAAATAATTTTTTCTCGTCGATCATTGAAGTTGCTGTTGCTGGCGAATCATAATCGCCGATTGATTCATACATAAGGACATGACTCATGCTTTTGTGCATCGGCCTAGACGTATCAAAAAAAGAGCCAACACCTTTTTATAAGGCCGGCTACGCACATGCAATTCCATTGGTGTTGCAATTGTTCGCGGGTACTAGTACCATCAGGTGAGCCACATGCTCGTTTGCTCCCTCTTCTATAAAAAGTCCGTTTTTACCCGCCAGTTGCGGGACAGAGCTTCGTGTACTAATAGCATAGTTTAAAGAGAGTTTAACTGTGCTTATAGTGTTACATACTATGCAAATGTATCACGACAATTCGATATTGCAGTAACATTTTCTGTCTAATGACGGACCATACAAATACGCAGGTCACAAATTTCACAGAATTCAAAAATCTTAAAAAACAAACACCTACGAGCCCTAACGTCCATTATGGTTTAAGACATTTATTTTCTCAAAAGATTTACAAATCACTTACAGAGAAAATACACATTATAAAGAAAAAAAAACATTAAGCCGATTGGCGTAGTGAGCTAGTATTATAATAGGTCGTTATTTTCTAATTGAGTGCTTAATAACTTATTTAGTAAATATTACACATAAGTAAATAGGGTAGTTGCAAAAGTATTCGTACCAAAGCTAAGCAGACCATCGTTACTTCGGTCAAAATTGAATGAATGTGGCGAGTTATTTGTTAAGGCCTATGACACATTTTACACAACACACATGACACAATTATAGGCAAATATTCCGATAATGAGCCAGCTGGTTCATTTATTTAGGAAGTTTAAGAGGATATCCGGGTGGCGTTTATTCCATAGGTGCAAATTTCAAACGTATTCCTCTATTTTCCCCTGCATATACATCTAAATATTTTATATGTTGTTTATGTATGTATTTTGTCCTTCCCGGGTCGGGCCAACCCGTTCGTGCTGTAGCTGCAGCATGGATCTACCACGTATAAACTAACTGAACTAAGCGTTTTGCTTCGTTGTCCTTAATGTTCAACGCATGCAATGCAATGGAGTGGTATAATTTGCCAGCACCTTCTTGCTTTCTCTTTCTTCTGATCTTCTTCTTTTCCTCCGATTACATATCTTTTCCGACTTTCTATCTAATTACAACGTGGTTGTCTTCAAGGCAAGAATAAACAGGCGTTTGTTAAGCTAAGTCAGTGCGTTTCACCATCTTCGGCTAAACCCTTACCATCTGGTGGTGTAATAGTCAATCACTGGTTTATAACTGTATTGTAAAATAGTGGAACAACCTATATCCAGTTGTGGACTTGTAAAGGCTGATGGAAAAGATGAACAAGGTAGTACCTGGTATGTACTAAGTAGTACGATGGCAGCTGCGAGTGCGGCGGACGGTACGAGTCTCCAAGACATCAGGACTGGTGGAGCGTGTCCTCGGTACTATAGTAAAGACTCGCGCGTGGCGACTTCATACTGGTTTTATGTGTGAGTCTGCGACCCCTACCATGGTACTATGATGTCACATACAACTCGTTTATTGGCTACCTGGAAATTAGTTTTATATAATTTATCTGCAACACCGTTAAATTGCAGGTGCATTGTCGGCCTTTTAGAAGGGAGTAGATTCTTATCTTGAAGATTTCTAAGCCATATCCATATGGATCTATCAAAGTCTGCAGTAGAAATTCGTAGTGAATCGCAGTGGTGTATTCTTATCATGGAGTTGGTGGATTTGATCTCAGGGGTGACAACGCATTTGCATTTTGATCCTTAACCAAGGATAGATGTAAATGTACATAGGCCACAGCATCCACTTACTATCGGGTGGACTGTGTGTTCGTTTGTTACCTTTATTCGAAGAGGTTCGTGTCCAGTAGTTGATTTTTATGGTCTCACGGAGAAGAAGAATTATACTTAATATTTTGATATTACACAAATTTCATGGTAAGGGAATTATCATAGTTTATGAATTTGAACAATACGTTGGAAGATTGTTTGATAAACATAATACGGATGAGTATTGAGCAACATCCACTGCGGCCATTCATAGAGCATTCTAGATTTGTTTATTGAAACTGTATTTAAAGCCCAACAATTATTAGTTTTCGGGTCTGCATCCCTAGCCTGCCTTCGTATGATATTTTTTTTTATAGGATAGGGTGACAAACGAGCACACAGTCCACCTGATGGTAAGTGGTTGCTGCGGCCCATAGACATCGACATCTATCCTCCATTAAAAATCAAAATGCAGATGCGTTGTCACCCGTGAGGACTGAGATGGAATGCCTCGTTTCCAGTAAAAAGGGTCTCCGGTTCTTTACACTCACCATACGAAATACAACAGCATTAAGCTACTATTTCACGCTGGTATTCTGTGAGACCGTGGTCCTTCCCCGGTCGAGCCGACCCATTCGTACTACAACTATACTACTAATATAACTACAGTATGGCTTTACCACGTAAAAATGGATGGAATATAATATTACACCGTAAAAAAGCAGCTAGTAGTAAATAGTAGCACCGTTAAATATCAGTGAAAAATAGCAGCTTAATGCTGCTGTGTTTCGTTTGGTAAGTGTAGAGAACCTGAGACCCTACTGGAAACGAGGCAGTCCATCTTAGTCCTCTTGCGTAGCTGTACCTCTTGTATAGCACGCACCTGTATTTTGTTTCTTAATCGAACGTAAATCTAGATGTCTATGGACCACTTACTTGTGCAAGTGGACTATGTGCTCGTTTATCACCCTTAAGCTATAAAAAATAACAACAGGCATGGCAATGTTAGGACGTACGAATATTAAGTTCTGAGTCGTTTATGGCAAGGAGCCACCTCGTGTGCTACTGATAGTTACTGAATGAGAACAAATGACCACACAGTCCACAAATGGTACGGTGACTTATAGACACCTAAATCTTTCCTCGATTAAGAATCAAAATGTAGATGGATTACCACCTCCTAAGGCTAAGATAGCGTGTCTTGTTGTCAGTAAACAGGATCTCCAGTTCTTTATACTTACCATAAGAAACACAGCAGCATTAGGCTGCTATTTTATGGTGGTGTAGCCGACCCGTTCGTGCTACCCTATAGCTATAGCGTGGCTCTACCACACTAAATACTATATTTGGATGTTTTTAACATGTGTATTTTTAACAAATGTGGCTCGAACTAAAGTTGCCTGGCAGAGAACGTTTCGCGATTGGTATAGCATATAGACCTGAATCGGCAGATATTGAAATTGCGATGAATGCACTAAGTGAATCTGTAAGTGCTTTCGGATTGATTTTAACATCTATCTCTTACGATCTGATAAATTAACAGCGCGCAAATTAAATACGTTTTTATCGCCGCAAGGACTAACTGCAATGCAACGCGCAGTACTGATAAAACAGAATCACTTATAGATCATATTTTGACCGATTCTCCCGGATTATGCAAAAGTATTAACGTATACCATAACACTGAACTAAGTGACCATGCCATGGTGACTTCCAAACTTAAAATTAATAAACCTAAGGAAAAACAGCTGTACATACACACGAGATCTTTAGGACAAATTAATAAAAAAAAAATTTTTAGCTCATCTGGAAAAATTGTCTTGTATACAAGTACAATAATTTAAATCAATACAAAAAAAAATGTTGAACGGTTTAGCAGCATATTGCGTGTCGCTTTTGACACACACGCACCTTTATAGCTAATTAGATTAAAACGAAAACTAACACTTTTCATTACAGACAATGTAAAATAATGACCCTTCGCGACTCTACTCATAATCGTGCCGAATTTCAGGAAGGAATTTGCACTAAGTCTAAGAAACTTAGTAAACAGTGCAATCGATAGAGGAAAGTCAGTTTATTTTACATTTGTTATTACAAAAATCTGGGTAATCCAAAAACCATGTGGATCTGAGGTGAATATTGCCCGTAGGGAACATCATATCTGTAACCGCGAAGCTATTAATATTTTTTTATAAAAGTGGCAGAAGATAATGACATAAATAAAAGTACTTTTAACTACTTCAATACCAACTGAATATATAAAATTTTATTTAAAATTACCATCAAAACGGAATCTAAAGTTTGTAAAATAATTACAATTGGAACTAAAGCCAGTAGAAGTGATTTAATTAATAATAATATGGATATGATGCGTATTTTTTTACCGGTACATTAACGATAATAACAGGAATAGTAAACGAATTCATTCGTACTAAGATTTTACCAGATCATTGGAAACTGGCCAAAATTAAACCTATTCCTAAGAGTCCAAATCTACAGGAAATTAATAATCTTAGATCAATCAGCATTTTACCAACACTTTTTTTAGTTTGAATACGAAGAACTCAAGAAGAGAGTAGTTTTACCAGAAACACAATCTGGGTTTCGTCGAGGGTATGGTACGGAAACAGCTCTGCTGCAAGTCACGGATGATATAACTGCAGCTGCTGGTAAAGGTTAGGGTAGTATGCTAGTACTATTGGATTTTATTAGAACGTTAGACTGCATAAGCCATGATACACTTTTGGCGAAATTGTCATACTACGGAGTATCGGAAGCAACATGTAAATGGTTTTACTCATTCTTATCAGATAGAAGTCAACATGTTGAAATTAATACAGACCAAGAGGAAGTAATGCAATCAAATATAAGAAGAACGTCCAGAGGCACTCCGCAAGGATCCATCTTAAGCTGTTATACTGTTTTGCGGGTATTAGCAAAGTCTTAAAACATAGCAAAATACATCTGTGTGACGACTATTATCAAATATATCATTCGTTCAAACCAGAAAACACCGAAAATGCAGTCATGCAGTTAAATTAAGATTTGTCGACAATCTTCCAATGGGCAAAAAATAATGTTCTGTCATAATCCTTTAAAATTAAAATATATAGTGCTAGAAAGTAAAACACAACGTAAAAAATATAAAGTAAAAACCGGAAATACTCATCAACAATTAAAAGGTACTAAGATATCAGAGTTGATCGTGCTAATAACCTTGGTCTTATCCTCGATAGCCAACTGCGCTTTAATGAACATGTCAATATTAAAATTCGTAATGCTTTTAATCGTTTAAAGATATTATATAGCATAAGAAAATACTTAACAGTAATGACCAGGAAGACCTTAGTTGAGTCATTAGTATTAAATAAATAAATTAAATAAATAAAATAAAATAAAAAGCCTTTTATTTCCATAAATTTACATTACTTATAATCTATACATGTGTTAGTTTGGTTTACTATACGTTATTTATTTATTACTTACTTAATATAGATTTATCTGTATCTGAAGTATATGTACCTATATGATAATACTTATTTAACAATATTTATATAACTAATGTTTTATATAACTTTATTATGTAATATAAGCTTTCATAAATTTATATTTATCTATTTACATATAATATATCTATAACTACTTTTGATAATAACATATTTATTTGTCTAATCTTATTTTTATTTAATCTACCGGAACCCCAGAATGGGTAAAGGCCTCCTCCAGTGATGCTCATTTGACTCTGTCTTGAGCTACTTGTCTCCAGTTTGGACCAGCTGTTGTTTTAATATCATCTTCCCATCTTGTAATAGGTCTCCCTCTTGTTCTTTTGCCTATTGGGCCATTCCAGAATGTTACTTTTTTGGTCCATCTAAGACCAGTTAGCCGCGCAACATGTCCTGCCCACTTCCATTTAAATTTTTGTGCGTAGCTCAGAGCGTTTGTTACTTTAGTTATATTTCTTATTTTTGTCTGTCGTATTTTATCCAGCTTCCTTATCTTTAGCTTACTTCGTTCAAGTCCTCCCTGACAGACGCTGATCTTTTTTCTTGTGTCAGTAGTGAATTTCCACGTTTGGCAACCATATGGCAAACAAGGCAAGATGCTCGAATTCATGACTTTTGTTTTAATAGCTTTGCTTTTAAAAATGTCCTTGATACTCCAGTATTTGTTCAGGTTAATTGATTCTACTTTCTATTTCTAAGTTCTTATTTTTCCTGTCAAAACTAATACTTTTTCCGAGATACAATTTTTCACGTATTCCAATGGTTTGCCATTGACTAATATTGGTCTTTTCAAGCTATTGGTCATTGTCTCAGTCTTTGTAATATTCATTTCCAGTCCCACTTTTACACCAGCTAGGTGTAGGTTTTCTACCATGTTCTGTAGCTGGGAGGATGACTCCGAAAATAGTACTAAGTCATCTGCGAATCGTCGTTAGTATTATCACATTTTAATTATTGCGATACCGTCTATGGCCCACGGCTGTATTAAAAAAAAAACAAAAAAGGCAATTCAACGCGTTCAAAACCCATGTACTCGCTTTTGCTTTAACGACTCATTTTACTCCATATATTAATGAGAACAATATTTTAAAAATGGACGCACGTAAGAAACTTTAGATGGTTTGCTGA